TGAAAGGCCCCAGAGTCTGCAACACCACTAAGCAAGGGGCACCACCAATAAATAAATAAATAAATTGGTCATTTAGCAGACGCTCTTATCCAGAGCGACTTACAGGAGCAATTAGGGTTAAGTGCCTTGCTCAAGGGCACATCGACAGATTTTTTACCTAGTCGGCTTGGGGATTAGAACCAGCGACCTTTCGGTTACTGGTACAACGCTCTTAACCACTAAGCTACCTGCCGCCCCACTCACCAAGCAAGCGGCACCATGAAGACCAAGGAACTCTCCAAACAGGTCAGGAACAAAGTTGTGGAGCAGTACAGATCAGGGTTGGGTTATAAAAAAATATCAGAAACTTTGAACATCCCACGGAGCACCATTAAATCCATTATTAAAAAATGGAAAGAATATGGCACCACAACAAACCTGCCAAGAGAGGGCCGCCCACCAAAACTCACGGACCAGGCAAGGAGGGCATTAATCAGAGAGGCAACAAAGAGACCAAAGATAACCCTGAAGGAGCTGCAAAGCTCCACAGCAAAAAATGCCAAAAATGCCAAGGGGGGTGAATACTTTCGCAAGCCACTGTATGTAACAGCCTGTCCAATGACTTTGGAAATACTGTTGTCTACATACTAGTGCTGAGCAATTAGTGCTTTTTGAGGTCGGTTAGGTTTTGGTTCGATTATTAAGAAATAATCACGGTTTTCGATTTGGGTTTAGATTATTTGGGTTGAATGCTGTAACAACACAGAATGAAAAAAGTAATAAAAGTCCCATGATGGTAGTGACTGCCCATTACTGCTTATCAATATTTGCAGTGTTGACCCTTCTTTTTCAAGACCTCTGCAATTCGCCCTGGCATGCTGTCAATTAACTTCTGGGCCACATCCTGACTGATGGCAGCCCATTCTTGCATAATCAATGCTTGGAGTTTGTACGAATTTGTGTTTTTTTTTTTGTCCACCCGCCTCTTGAGGATCGACCACAAGTTCTCAATGGGATTAAGGTCTGGGGTGTTTCCTGGCCATGGACCCAAAATGTCAATGTTTTGTTCCCCGAGCCACTTAGTTATCACTTTTGCCTTATGGCAAGGTGCTCCATCATGCTGGAAAAGGCATTGGTCGTCACCAAACTGTTCTTGGATGGTTGGGAGAAGTTGCTCTCAGAGGATGTGCTGGTAACATTCTTTATTCATGGCTGTGTTCTTAGGCAAAATTGTGAGTGAGCCCACTCCCTTGGCTGAGAAGCAACCCCACACATGAATGGTCTCAGGATGCTTTACTGTTGGCATGACACAGGACTGATGGTAGCGCTCACCTTGTCTTCTCCGGACAAGATGTTTTCCGGATGCCCCAAACAATCGGAAAGGGGATTCATCTGAGAAAATGACTTTACCCCAGTCCTCAGCAGTCCAATCCCTGTACCTTTTGCAGAATATCAGTCTGTCTCTGATGTTTTTCCTGGAGAGAAGTGGCTTCTTTGCTGCCCTTCTTGACACCAGGCCATCCTCCAAAAGTTTTCGCCTCACTGTGCGTGCAGATGCACTCACATCTGCCTGCTGCCATTCCTGAGTAAGCTCTGCACTGGTGGTGTCCCGATCCCGCAGCTGAATCAACTTTGGGAGACGGTCCTGGCGCTTGCTGGACTTTCTTGGGCGCCCTGACGCCTTCTTCACAACAATTTAACCTCTCTCCTTGAAGTTCTTGATGATCCGATAAATGGTTGATTTAGGTCCAATCTTACTAGCAGCAATATTCTTGCCTGTGAAGCCCTTTTTGTGCAAAGCAATGATGACAGCACGTGTTTCCTTGCAGGTAACCATGGTTAACAGAGGAAGAACAATGATTTCAAGCACCACCCTCCTTTTAAAACTTCCAGTCTGTTATTCTAACTCAATCAGCATGACAGAGTGATCTCCAGCCTTGTCCTCGTCAACACTCTCACCTGTGTTAACAAGAGAATCACTGACATGATGGCAGCTGGTCCATTTGTGGCAGGGCTGAAATGCAGTGGAAATGTTTTTTGGGGGATTAAGTTCATTTTCATGGCAAAGAGGGACTTTGCAAGTAATTGCAATTCATCTGATCACTCTTCATGACATTCTGGAGTATATGCAAAATGCCATCATCAAAACTGAGGCAGCAGACTATGTGAAAATGTGTATTTGTGTCATTCTCAAAACTTTTGACCACGACTGTACTGCCAAATTCTCTAAAACGACATTGGAAGCAGCTTTATGGTAGAGAAATGAACACTCAATTCTCTGGCAACAGCTCTGGTGGACATTCCTGCAGTAGGCATGCCAATTGCACGCTCCCTCAAAACTGTGTTGTCTGACAAAACTGCACATTTTATAGTGGCCTTTTATTGTCCCCATCACAAAGTGCACCTGTGAAATGATCATGCTGTTTAATCAGCTTCTTGATATGCCACACCTGTCAGGTGAATGGATTATCTTGGCAAACGAGGAATGTTCACTAATGGATGTAAACATATTTGTGCACAACATTTGAGAGAAATAAGCTTTTTGTGCGTATGGAAAAATTCTGGGATCTTTTATTTCAGCTCATGAAACATGGGACCAACATTTAGCGTTTATATTTTTGTTCAGTATAGTTAATAACCACGTTTTATGCACTAAACTATGTAGAATATTGGCCTGTTGGAAACTACAACTCCATACTACATCGCACAGTTCAGGCTGGATCTGATTTATCTCTAGAGAAACTGTTCATTTTGCGCATTGAGCTCACAGAGAGAACTAAAACTAAATGGAATTCAAATAATTGGACCAAGGTAGGTAAATTAGTTGTTTAAAAACCGAATAATAACAGAAACGTTGGTTCATCGTTCAGCACTACTACATACCTTATGTCATATCAGGAAATGACATATGCTTTGTGGACAGGCTATTGGTAAAATATAAACAACTCTAGTGTTCAGGCTACATGGTCATAATACCATGTCAACAATTTTTTAGCAAAGAAAAAATTACTGCCTTCAGAAAGTATTCACACCCCTCGACTTGTTCAACATTTTGTTGTGTAACAAAGTGGGATTAAAAAAAATTTGTTTGTAATTTTATTCTCAATGATTTACACAAATACTCTGTCATAGTGGGAGAAAAACTAACATTTGTAAAAAAAGAAAAGAAAACTAAGACTAATATCTAGATTACATAAGTATTCAACTCCTTGAGTCAATACATGTTAGAATCACCTTTGCCAGCGATTTAAAGTCTTTCTGGGTAAGTTTCTAAGACCTTTGCACACCTGGATTGTACAATATTTGCACATTCTTTTTAAAATTCTTCAAGCTCTGTCAAGTTGGTCATTGATCATTGCTAGACAGCCATTTTCAAGTCTTGCCACAGATTTTCAAGCGACTAAGTCAAAACTGTAACTAGGCCACTCAGGAACCATGCTTGAAAATATGAAGAGTGGTACTCAGTGATGTGTTGTGTTGGATTTGCCCCAAACATAACGCTTTGTATTCAGGACATAATGTTTATTTCTTTGCCAGTTTTACTTGAGTGCCTTATTGCATACAGGATGCATGTTTTGCAATATGTTTTATTCTGTACAGACTTCCTTCTTTTCACTCTGTCATTAAGGTTAATATTGTGGAGTAACTACAATGTTGTTGATCCATCCTCAGTTTTCTCCTATCACAGCCATTAAACTCTTTAACTGTTTAAGTCACCATTGGACTCATGGTGAAATCCTTGAGCGGTTTCCTTCCTCTCCGGCAACAAGTTAGGAAGGACGCCTGTGTCTTTGTAGTAATTGGGTGTATTGATACACCATCCAAAGTGTAATTAATAACTTTGCCATGCTTAAAGAGATATTCAATGTCCGTTTTTTTTAATCTACCAATAGGTGCCCTTCTTTGCAAGGCATTGGAAAACCTACTTGTGGTTGAATCTGTGTTTGAAATTCACTGCTCGGCTGAGGGACCTTACAGATAATTGTGTATGTGGTGTACACAGATCATGTTAAACACTATTATTGCACACAGAGTGAGTCCATGCAATTTATTATGTCAGATTTTTACTCCTGTACTTATTTAGGCTTGCCATAACAAAGGGGTTCAATACTTATTGACTCAAGACATTTCAGCTTTTCATTTTGTATTTTTTTGTAAATATTTTGAAAACATAATTCCACTTTGACATTATGGGGTATTGTGTGTAAGCCAGTGATACAACATTTCAATTTAATCAATTTTTTATTCAGGCTGTAACACAACAAAATGTGGAAAAAGTCAAGGGGTGTGAACACTTTCTGAAGGCACTGTATGTTCCATAGATTAGAACGAGACCTTTTGAGAGAAATCACAAAATTGAGTTCTACGTATATTAAATCAACGTGTTTATGCTATTCACTCTGCACTCTGTTCATGTAAATGTTAAGGATCTGATTATCTTTATTACAATGCAACCCTATGTCACTAACACTCACAGTGGCTCATGATAAATAGCTGCTGAAGTCGGACCATAATGAGACATGGAGCAAATCCAAGTGGAAATCAATGTAGAAGGTTTCTAAATTGTCGCCACCGCTGCAAAAAGGATGATGTCATTTTTTTCAAATGTATATATTTCTGCCAAGATGTGCTTTTAAAAGGATAGTCATTGGCTCAATGACTAGAAGTCTATGGGAACAGCTAGCATGTCATTGTGCTAATGGTAGTAGCAATGTCCCACCCTTGCCACCACTGCTGAAAACAAATCCAAGGGGAAACACTGCATATGTTGCCATATGTATACCAGGAGTATTCAAATCTTACCCTACGAGGTCCGGTTTTCTGTTCTACCTGATAATTAATTGCACCCACCTGGTGTCCCAGGTCTAATTCAGTGCCTGATTAGAGGGGAAGTATGAAACAAAGCAATGGAACTGGCTTCAAGGTCCATATTAGAATTTGAGGGCTGTATACAAACACTGCAGTGCAATTATTTGACTAACTGTTGATATGATCTGCTTTGTGTTGTTTTTCTCCCCAGGTTGGTGGATGACCGATGTGTGGTAGAACCAGCTGCAGGGGACCTGGACTATCCCCCCAAGAAGTTCAGAGGTCAGATGAGTATTAAATTATTTATTTAGGCCTACAACGTAAAGTGTGTGCAGGTGCTTGTGTGTGTGTGTGTGTGTCTTTGTCGGAGTGTCATGTATGTGTGTGCATGCATGTATACTTCCCTGTGTGTTTGTGAGTGATTGCCCATGCAATGCATGTTATTGTGTGTCTGCTTCTGCCTCTGTGTGTCAATGACTGTGACATATGGGGAATGTACTGTTCTCTGCCCACTCTGCCTGATATTGGCACCAGAGAGAACAGACTCCAAGTCAGAGAGCAGCCAAACACCCAGAACATTTTCCGCTGGCTGGCCTCTGAAGGGGGCCGAAACCCACACTTCACATTCAGAGCATTTCTGATCAAAGGTTAATTGATGTCCTACTCTTGGATCTTAGTTTAAACAGAAAAGTTGACAATCTACATAAATGTATGTTGACCCAAAAGTCTCAGCAACAGTGTCATAGTCTAATTACACTCTAATTGTTTCCCATGTAATGATTTTATATGAATAGTATTCTGTCAGTTGTTTGCATGATTTCCCTATATAAAGATTTATCCTGCCACACATTGACTTGATCAAAGAAGCAATTTCAATATTTGCCGAGGGGTGAGTGACATAGACATTTTAAAGATGTTTGTAGTTTTGGTGGCGCTAGAAGCTTCCTGCCAGGCCTGTGTGGCAGATAACAACTAATGTACTCACAAGGTACACTGACAGCCAGCTGATAAAGTCCTTCATCTCCAGTATTAGGCTCCTTTAAAAACAGGATATCCCTCTGAGGATAGGAAGTTAATATTGACCAGACGCCCAGATCCACTCTCCCCTGTGGTGGGTGTGGAGCAAATTACTAACCGCTTTTTAACAAGGACATTTTTCTTTTTATGTGGAAGCGATATATACTTGCTCAGACAGTGACCCAGCACTGCAGCCATCTTGGTATAGTAATCAATCTGCGATAAGTGCAACACTAGCTCTCCCCCCCATAATACAGGTATTTAAGTTCGGAACCAAAACATCTATTACACTGAATACTCACCAGTCCCCTGAATAGCAATCTTGACCCTTTACCACACTCTTTTGTCTCAGACTGCCTCTTCAAAGTGTGTCCCATGAACCGCTACTCTGCACAGAAACAGTTCTGGAAAGCCAAGCAGGCCAAGCACGAGAAGGACAAGATCGCTGATGTTGTGCTACTTCAGAAACTACAGGTAAAAGATACTACCAAGGATCATACCACTAGGTTAGATGCAGTACACTGGACTGACACTGATGCAACCTTTTCCTTGTTCTCCACAGCATGCTTCTAACCTGGAGCAGAAACAGAATGAGACAGAAAACAAGAAAGTCCACGGAGATGTAGTAAAATATGGCACTGTCATTCAGGTAAGGTCTGAGTTCCCAGCAGCACTGTTTAGGTAAGCAGACCCTCAGGTGTTCAACAGCTTACGCTTCTTACTACTCTGGTGAATGGAATTACTGTAAATCTGTTGTGATGTCATGGGATTAGGGCGCTATCAATGAATAGCTGGTCTTGTACCTGAGGGGATGCTTGAGCACACCTGCACATTCTTAGTGTGAAGAGTCTGCAGAGCACCAAACAGAATGGGTCTGGGAAGGGATTGAGGTTTGAGCACACCTGCACAGTATCGGTCAGGGATGGGTCCCAGAACACCTGTGTTTTAATCACTTGCAGTAAGTATGCAGCATCACTCACTTAATGGGAGTTATTGACTTCCGAGTTACAGGGATTGGTGTGATAGTCAGTCAGGTGATTCACAATCCAATCTTCCTGATCATGACTGCTAATAGCTGGTTCATAACGGCATGTTTCTGCATGTCATCCCTGTATGGAAACCTAGACAGTCAGTGTGTCAGGTTGTCATTACCATAGCCAGGTGAAGTCAGATTTTCCTCTAGGTGTGTTCATATTCTAAAGAGATTCTAAGTGTTGAGAGATAAGACTGCAAAGGTTTCCCAGTGATCCCTGCCGCTGGGCATTCCACATGAAATGCCTTTTTTACTACCATGTCGTAAACAACATAATGCAAGAGTGTGTCAAATCATATGTAGCAAAGCCTAAATTACTGCATATATAGTACTAGTCTGTATCAAACCAAGAACAATAATATTTGTCTGAACTTGAATGATAACATATTTAAGAGTTTTGTTAATTTCATAGATAGGCAACAGTTGATAGTCATCATCAGACATCTCTAACCCCTGTTTTCATCACAGAAGGCGCAATGAAGAAAATTCGATTTAACGATTCACAGGAAAATGTACAGAACCGTGTTCAATATGGCATGAGAAATGGAGGTATTGACTGAGGTCTAGGGGCCAGGATTCCCACTCACTGGACCTGTACCTGGTCAATATTGACTCTGAAGCCTTATCTTAACACAAACAGAAAGGGCTGTGCACTTACAGAACCATGGGACATAAAGTTAAGGGTTAATGTTAAGAGCCCTCCCTTTTCCGGGCAGACATTATAGGTGTGGTTCCTTGTGACTCACCTGTGTAGTGTAGAGTTCCTCCTGATTCAGACAGGCTGAGTTGGGAGAGGGAGGGGAAGGGTTGTAGACAAAGTGGGTGTCTCTCTCTCTCTCTCTCAGGAGATCAATAACTGTAATCTGTTAATGGCTGTGCATGTGCACACAGCACACCAATGACAAGCATACAATACAGTACAACTAACCTAGTGAGTCACTTTATCTTCCAGGAAGTAAGTCCTACTGTATAGCTTCCTCAGGTCTCCCCCAGTCCTTTATTCTCCTTAATATCCTCTTAGCATAAGCTTTAGTGAAGAAAGATGTGCTATTTTCCATTCATTCTCTCTCTTTGAAATGAGAAAAATGTCTGTAGAACATAATCATCTCTGAATGATAACAGCAGGGGGATCCTCTCTGTTGATGCATGGTTTTAGTACTATTCATCTTGGTCTTCCAGCCATGCTTTCTTAAGTGGTTCCCTTCCTGGCTGGCTCGTTCCCATTGTTGAATGGGATAGTGAGCTATTCTAGCTACCACCATAACAGCACAGACACAATATGAAAGTGAGCGAGTGCAGGTTTAACAGTGGCCTGTTTTTCTGTGTGTGTGATGTGCCCTGGCTGGCAGCTCCTGCATATGAAGAGTAATAAATACCTGACTGTGAATAAGCGTCTGCCTGCCCTGCTGGAGAAGAATGCCATGCGGGTCACCCTGGACGGGACGGGGAATGAGGGCTCCTGGATGTTCATCCAACCCTTCTGGAAGCTAAGGGCCAACGGAGACAATGTAACTCACCTAACTCATATTACAGCACATACTCAACTGACATTAATGCACAGTTGCATTCAATCACATACACACATTCACTAACGCATGCGAACTCACAAATCTCAGACAATCTATTGTTAAAGGGGCAATCTGCAGTTGCTACATCCATTTTTGGACTAATGAATTAATGATATGTACCCATTGATTCTTGAAGAATATAGCTTATAAATGCCTCATAAGCTTAGTTCAACTGTCATATCCTATCAGAACCCATAATATAAGCTTATATCAACTCCAAGGTTTGTAAACAAAGTAAATATAAACAAACACTATATAGCCTCAAAACATGGTTAAAACTATACGTTTGATAACATGGATGGCCAATCCTTGCATCCATAGCTCTGTCTATGGATTTGAGAGTGGTTACATTTCTCCAACCCCATCCCTCAGCTTTTTACCGAAACGGGTGGGGAGACGGCATTATTGTTTCAACTGCTTATTTCCGCTTTAATTCTTGTGCTTCTTGTGGAATTGTTGTTGTGCTTATTTCTATGTTCTTCTGCAGGTAGTGGTAGGAGATAAAGTGATCCTGAACCCAGTGAATGCAGGCCAGCCTCTACATGCCAGTAACTATGAGCTCTCCGACCACGCTGGATGCAAAGAGGTAAGAGAATCATAACCACACTGTCTGATTAATCAATGACAAAATCTGTCTGGAAGAGTGAGGCTTCTGACTGTGTCACTTCCCAATTGCAAAGAACCAACGGTTGTTACTGCCAGTAATGATAAAAAGCTTTACTGTTAATCTCATAAACCCCACCTATTTCTACAATTGATCTTCTTAAAATTTGATTTTAACCCTAACCGTAACCAAACTTCTAACCTTATGCCTAACCCTAACCTTAAACCTCATGCATTTTGACGATATGGCGAATTTTGACTTAGCAGCTTGCCCATCTAGTGGGAAGAGGTGTGCTGTGCTGAAGCTGATGTATTTGTGTCCCTCTGTAGGTTAACTCTGTGAACTGCAATACTAGCTGGAAAATCAACCTGTTCATGATGTTCAGTGACCACAAGGATGAAGTCTTGAAAGGAGTAAGTCTCCTTTAACATTGATGTGTATAATACTGTATCTGTCACTATTTATATCATTGTGATTGATTCTTCATCACTTTCACACCCTAACCCTATCACATAATAGCATTATAACCTCAAGCTTTAGATGGTTTGATATCTCTTTGCTGGTGTGTCTGGTCAGGGGGATGTAGTGCGGTTGTTCCATGCGGAGCAGGAGAAGTTCCTGACCTGTGATGAGTACAAGGTCAAGCTGCATGTGTTCCTCCGAACCACCCTGCGCCAGTCTGCTACCTCTGCCACCAGCTCCAATGCCCTGTGGGAAGTGGAGGTTGGTACACACACGCACAGACACACACACACACACACACAAGCACGCAAACCTACACACGCACGCACACACACATTATTGGCTTTATCCTAGTATAGTTTCAATATGCTCTGTTGTACAGGAGCTAAATGGCCTAAGGTATGATGATTGAGGTTTGTTTCGATGATGTGATGTGTTCCAAGGTGGTGCATCATGATCCATGTCGAGGAGGGGCTGGACATTGGAACAGTCTGTATCGCTTTAAACACCTTGCCACAGGGAACTATCTTGCAGCTGAGGTAACATTATAAAGTATTGGACCATGGATATTGGTCACCACGGTGCTCTGGTTATTACACGGTCTGCATTGATGCAGAGTCATTTTAGAGCACATGTGTTGTTGTGGTTGCTTTAGGAAAATCCGGGTTATAAAGGTGACAGCGTTGAAATCCAGACTTCGGTGAGTGAAGATACGGTACGCATACTTTTTTTTGACCTCCCAGTACTTCTGTCTAGTTAGTCTAACTCATGTCAGTGTAATGCTGTCATTCTGATGACAGTCAATGTGCTAAACCCTAACCCTTGACCCCTGCCCTCTGTAGCTGGACAGTAGAGGAAAACTAAAGATTTTGGGTGAGAGGATAAAGTACAAGCTGGTGGCTGTGCCTCATGGGAATGACATTGCCTCCTTGTTTGAGCTAGACCCCACCACTCTGCAGAAAACAGACTCCTTTGTGCCAAGGTACTGTACTGTAGCATTTCAACTCACTATCAGCCTCAACCCATCTGCACAGACTGTACAATACCGTATATACAACTGAATATAGCTATTTATAAAGCAGTAAAGACTTGACCTACAGTATGTTTCACTGGCTCTCTATTGTAAACTTTCTTCCTCTCAGGAATTCATATGTGCGTCTCAGACACCTATGCACCAACACATGGATCCAGAGTACCAACGTGCCCATAGATATCGATGAGGAGAGACCAATCCGGCTCATGGTAAGAACCATGTCACTTGATTTACTGTGACACTGAGATCAGTCAGACTCAGTATATCTGTTATATCCTTTTTTCAGCTGGGCACCTGCCCTACCAAGGAGGATAAGGAGGCCTTTGCCATCGTGTCAGTGCCAGTGATGGAGATCCGGGACCTGGACTTTGCCAATGATGCCAGTTTCATGTTGAGCACCATAGTGGACAGGTTCAATGAGGGCTTTATCAGTCCCAATGACAGAAGGTAAAGTATCTGCAAAAAAGGCCCCAAATGAATCTATGAAATCAAACTACTACTAAAAAGCCAAACTTTTCCCCTGTGAGCTCTATGTTATACTTGATTAAAGCCAGCTGTTTTACAGCTGAGACTATAATCCAGTCAATGGCGTAGTTCCCTGGCCAGACCCAATGGGCCAGACCCAATGGGCCAGACCAGTAACAGCTGTGTCCGACCGTGTCCTGTGTTTGACCCTGCAGGTTTGCCATTAAGCTGCTGGAGGACCTGGTGTTCTTCGTGGTGGACACGCCCAACAGTGGCCAGGTTGTGCTGGATGTGGCGATGACCAAGGCCAACCGCGAGAGACAGAAACTCATGAGGGAGCAAAACATCCTCAAACAGGTCAGAAGATCCACTTTAAACAAGCCTCCCTAAACATCTGGGTTGCATTAGACCAAGGATGAGCAACTTTGATGGGGAATGGGGCCCAAAATAATTCTACTCATTTTGCCATGGGGCGGAGATAAAAATGTGCTGTTTTACAGCAAATTTCCTGCAATTCTATACATTTTGCCATAGGGTGAAGGCAAATGCAGTTTTTGATATGATAACTGATGATTAATGGGCCCCACCCCGGTCAGTAATTCGACCTTGCTTACTACAAGTTTAGATAGCTGGCCACTAGACTAACGTATCAATAAATAAATAAATAGCTGGCATGGGCTAATTGAGTGACTGCTGATGCACAGACAATTTTCAAAATTGCGCCTTGTGTATTCTATTATTCTAACTCTCAACAGTAAGTTGAGACCCCGACTGAGTCCCCCCCCCCCACGGGCCGCCAGCATTAGACTGATGATGACATATAGGTTTATCATTTCTTGTCATTATATCCATGTTGTCACATGTTCCCTTGAATAGTTCTCTATTATTTTGTCCCTCCAAAGATCTTTGGGATCCTGAAGGCCCCTTTCAAAGATAAAGGGACAGAGGGCCCATTGCTGCGATTGGAGGAGCTGTCAGACCAGAAGAATTCCCCCTACCAGTACATGTTCCGTCTCTGTTACCGGGTGCTGCGACACTCACAGGAAGACTACCGCAAGAACCAGGTACACCACATTGTCTCGCATACTTTTTTCCTTCCATATTCCTGTTCCCCTGTCCATTATCCAAACTGAACTATTGATTCCTGGGCCTTCTTTACTGCCACGACACATTAGTCTCACTCTTTTGCCCCATCAGGAGCACATAGCCAAGCAGTTCGGGGTGATGCAGTCTCAGATTGGCTATGACATCCTGGCTGAGGACACCATCACTGCTCTGCTGCACAACAACCGCAAGCTGCTGGAGAAGCACATCACCAAGACGGAGGTGGAGACCTTCGTTAGCCTGGTCCGCAAGAACAGGGAACCCAGGTGAGGAGAGAGACCGCCTGACTATATAATATCTATGTACATTCGAAACTGTTGTGGTGTAACTCAAACATTGGCCTGTATCTCCTCAGGTTTCTGGACTACCTGTCAGATCTGTGTGTGTCCAACAACATGGCCATTCCTGTCACTCAGGAGCTGATCTGTAAGTGTGTGCTGGATCCCAGGAACCAAGACATCCTCATAAAGACTGAGTGAGTGGTACTTCCCTTTTACTAAACACGTGCACACACACTTACCTAAACATACATATTACTATACATGCAATGGCCTCTGTATGTGTGTATGCATGATGTAATGTGTGTGCCTATGTTTGTCCATGTAGACGGCGTGTGCCCAAAGAGATTCCCAGTGCCACTGAATACATGGGCATGGAGGAGTATGCTGACGATGATGAGGTGTGGCTGGTCTGGACTGACAAGACCAATGAGAAGCAAGAGAAGGGCATCAGACAGCTAGCCCAGGAGGCCAGACAGGGGAACGCTCATGACGAGAACGTGCTCACGTACTACAGGTGTATACTCATCAATGACGTAACATCAGTATCCTTATCATTTCCTAGATATGGGAATGTACTGTAACTAAAGGTCCCATGCACAAGTTATCTTTTAAAAAGTAAATTCTACTGATCTGAAATGTTTAAACCATGATGACCTACTTTGATGACATTTTGTCTATGCTTCATTCACTAACCTTCCCCTTTTATTATGGTAGGTACCAGCTGAAGCTGTATGCACGGATGTGTCTGGACCGCCAGTACCTGGCCATAGATGAGATCTCCAAGCAGCTGGATGTGGAGCTCATCTTCCTGTGCATGATGGACGAGACACTACCCTTTGACCTGCGCGCCTCTTTCTGCAGACTGATGCTGCATGCGCACGTCGACCGAGACCCCCAGGAGCTGGTCACGCCCGTCAAGTTCGCCCGTCTCTGGACAGAGATCCCCACTTCCATCACAATTAAAGAGTATGACTTCAAACAGTTTTCCCAGATTTTGTTTTGCGCATAATGTCATTTTATTGTAACAATGAGATCTAACTGGTTGTGGTTGTATTTCTATATTTCTATATCTCTTCCCTTTCTCAGTTATGACTCCAACATGGATGACTCGCGGGACAATAAGAAGAACAAGTTTGCCAACACCATGGTGTTCATGGAGGAGTACCTCAACAACGTTCTCAATGATGACTTGCCTTTCGCTGACGAGGAAAAGAACAAACTGACCTATGAGGTATCAATTCTGTCTTTTCTCATTCCTATTTCTACTTACAGTACTGTGAATACCTCAAGAACGCTGCTGCCTATATTTGGTAATGAGACGAGAACTCTCTGGCTCTCTACCACTTGGCCGGAGAAGCCCTGATAGAATGATAACTGATAGATTGTTTTGTCCCCTCAGGTAGTGAGCTTGGCCAGACACCTCATCTACTTTGGCTTCTACAGTTTCTTTGAGCTGCTAAGGTTGACACGGACCCTTCTGGGAATCATCGACTGCATCCCCAACCCTTCACTCATCAACCCCATGTTCCAGGACGATGGCAGTGGTAAGATAATGAGAAACACCTCTACTCTGCATTTAACATTATTATGAGAGAACTACCACACAGCACCATTTTATAAAACAAACCAGCACAACAGACGTTCAGATTCAGGTTTCTCATGGTTTTCACCATTGTAGCAATGATGCCACTCCCACTCTGTCTGTTAGGGAAGAACATGAAGCGTTCCATCCATGGTGTTGGCCAGATTATGTCCACCATGGTACTGAGCAGGAAACAGTCCATGTTTGGAGGTCCAGGCCGGAGTGCTTCCAACATAGAGGGCCAGAACCGCAGCAAGGACAGCATCGACAAACAGGACGTCACTGTCATGGACACCAAGCTGAAAATACTGGAAATTCTGCAGGTTAGAGCTTACTAGAACCCAGTACATCTCATGAAATGAGGCAGAGATGTGACATAGCACTGTTGAGTTTATCCTTGTGAAATATTAGAGCCATTCATGTTCTTTATCTCTTGTTGATATGCAGTTTATCCTGAATGTCCGCTTGGACTATCGGCTCTCCTTCCTGCTTTCTGTCTTCAAGAAGGAGTTTGTTGATGTTTATCCCATGGCAGATGCCGATGCTACAACATCAATGGAGCAAACAGGTAGTGCAGTGCCCATTTAAGGGACCCATTGCTCTCCACTAACCATGCCTTATACAGTATTCATCTCTCAATCTAAATACATAACATTCTTAACTCTCTTTCCACAGCCACCATCAACCTGCAGCACATAGGAGAGCAGGCAGAGGCCATGTTTGGTGTGGGGTAGGTTCAGTACAGGGTTGTAGTCCCTCACCAGCACATGTTATGGTGTTTCCCCATGTGTTATGATAACCTGTGACTGTGTCCTCCTGTCAGGAAGGGGAACAGTATTCTGGAGGTGGATGATGAGGGAGGTCGTATGTTCCTGAGGGTGCTGATCCATCTCACCATGCATGACTACCCTCCTCTGGTCTCTGGAGCTCTACAGCTGCTCTTCAAACACTTCAACCAGAGACAGGAGGTGTTGCACACATTCAAACAGGTAAGGAGACACAACTATCTGCAATCACTGATGGCAAACAAAGGCACGGCCAATAATGACCTGCACTCCAACTTGGTACAGTATCTGCTATTCCCTTTCTTATACAGTATCTATATATATTATTTATATCTTTGTTTTCTGGTCTCTCTCATTCACCGTCTCTCTGAAATACTCTCTCTGTCTTCATGTTGGCTTCAGGTCCAGTTGCTGATCTCGGGCCAGGATGTTGATAACTACAAGCTGATAAAGAGCGACCTTGACCATCTCCGCACCACGGTGGAGAAGTCTGAGCTCTGGGTGGACAAGAAGAGCAGCTCTGGAGGAGGGGAGGGGAAGAAAGACAAGAAGGACAAAAAAGAGAATGTAGAGGTGAGGGTGAGATACGCCTTCTCCATCGATGATAAGAAAGTGTGTAATAACGTGTAGTAGCTACAAACTACTTCTTACTAACAGTACTTCTGATTTCCTTTTAGATGGCCTCAGAGGATGCGACCCCCAAGAAAGAGAAGTCTGAAAAGAGCAATGAGAACTACCAGAAAGTCAAAGATGTGTGTTAGCATGTCCCATAGGCACTGTTTTTGTGTGTATATATATATATATATATACACAGGTGCAGCTCAATAAATTAGAATATTGTGGAAAAGTTAAGTAACTTCAATAATTCAATTGACAAAATGAAACTCATATATATCGTGGATTAATTACACAAAAAGTGAAATAGTTCAAGCCTGTATTTGTTTTAATCTTGATGATTACGGCTTACAGCTCATGAAAACCCCAAATTAAGTATCTCAGAAAATTAGAATATTGTGAAAAAGTTCAATATTGTAGACTCAAGGTGTCACACTCTAATCAGCTAACTAACTCAAAACACCTGCAAAGGTTTCCTGAGCCTTTAAATGGTCTCTCAGTCCAGTTCAGTAGGCTTCACAATCATGGGGAAGACTGCTGACTTGACAGTTGTGCAGAAGACAGTCATCAACACCCTCCACAAGGAGGGAAAACCTCAAAAGATCATTGCTAAAGAAGCTGGCTGTTCACAGAGTGCTGTATCCAAGCATATTCATGGAAAGTCGAGTGGAAGGAAGAAGTGTTGTAGGAAAAGGTGCACAAGCAACAGGGATAACCGGAGCCTTGAGAGGATTGTCAAGCAAAGGCCATTCAAAAATGTGGGGGAGCTTCACAAGGAGTGGACTGAGGCAGGAGTCAGTGCATCAAGAGCCACCACGCACAGACGTATCCAGGGAATGGGCTACAACTGTCGCATTCCTCGTGTCAAGCCACACCTGAACCAGAGGCAACGTCAGAAGCGTCTTACCTGGGCTAAGGAGAAAAATAACTGGTCTGTCGCTCAGTGGTCCAAAGTCCTCTTTTCAGATTAAAGTAAATGTTGCATTTCATTTGGCAATCAAGGTCCCAGAGTCTGGAGGAAGAGTGGAGAGGCACAGAATCCAAGTTGCTTGAAGTCCAGTGTGAAGTTTCCACAGTCAGTGATGATTTGGGGAGCCATGCCATCTTCTGGTGTTGGTCCACTGTGTTTCATCAAGTCCAAAGTCAACTCAGCCGTCTACCAGGAAATGTTAGAGCACTTCATGCTTCCTTCTGCTGACAAGCTTTATGGAGATGCTGATTTCATTTTCCAGCAGGACTTGGCACCTGCCCACACTGCCAAAGGTACCAATACCTGGTTCAGTGACCATTGGATTACTGTGCTTGATTGGCCAGAAAACTCGCCTGATCTGAACCCCATAGAGAATTTATGGGGTATTGTCAAGAGGAAGATGAGAGACACGAGGCCCAACAATGCAGACGAGCTGAAGGTCGCTATCGAAGCAACCTGGGCTTCCATAACACCTCAGCAGTGCCACAGGCTGATCGACTCCATGCCATGCCGCATAGATGCAGTGATTCATGCAAAAGGAGCCCCAACCAAGTACTGACTGCATGTACAAGAACATACTTTTCAGAAGGCTGACATGTCTGTATTAAAGTTCCTTTTTTCACTGGTCTTATGTCATATTCTAATTTTCTAAAATACTGAATTTGGGGTTTTCATGAGCTGTAAGCCATAATCATCAAGATTAAAACAAATACAGGCTTGAACTATTTCACTTTTTGTGTAATTAATCCACGATATATATGAGTTTCACTTTGTCAATTGAATTATTGAAATTACTTAACTTTTCCACAATATTCTAATTTATTGAGCTGCACCTGTATATAGTATTTTATTCCGGATCCCCATTAGCTGCTGCTCCAATCACAATTACATACAATAAAACGATACATAACACAACACATTATTAGGCACTACTCTACCATAACATATCTACAATACAAAATCAATAATACAGCACTGTTGAGTAGTGTTTGGCCATATTTCTGAAGACATTCTCTTTACCCCAGATCTTGGAGCGTCTGAATAAGATGTGCAGCTCGGGTGTGTGGAAGAAACAGCAGAGACTCCTGAAGAACATGGGAGCCCACAAAGTGATGCTGGACCTGCTGCAGGTGTCGTACGATCAGGTGAGGGATGTACGGGAACTGTGCCATACACACATAGTTTGGGCGGCAGGTAGCTTAGTGGTTAAGAGCGTTGTGCCAGTAACCGAAAGGTCGCTGGTTGTAATCCCCGAGCCGACTAGGTGAAAAATCTGTCGATGTGCCCTTGAGCAAGGCACTTAACCCTAATTGCTCCTGTAAGTCGCTCTGGATAAGAGCGTCTGCTAAAATGACTAAAATGTTTTTTTTTAATAGTCCAATACTAACATACTGTATCTACTAACACACCCCGGAGTTGTCATTTCAAGTCACTCAAAATAACATTACCTCGCTGTCTCGCTCACGCACTTTCCTGGTTCTCAGCATGACACCAAGATGCAGGGGATCATCAAGAGCACTCACCTGTTCCTGCAGAAGTTCTGCATGGGGAACCTGGAGAACCAGATGCTCCTTCATAAGAACCTCAGCCTCTTTCTCAACCCAGGAGTGAGTGAATTCACACACAGCTTTTATTGCCTTGTTTTCTACTTCCTGTTTTCAGTCAAAAAGAAGAAGGCCGGGCCCGCCGCCAAAAGACAAGAAGCGCCCCACAAGAAAGCCCTCAAGAAGAACACGCCGAGAGAAGCAAGCTCGAGGAGAGAGAGCTCTCGCTCTCTAGGGAGAGAGAGGAGAGATAGGTCTCTCTCTCTCTCTCTCTCTCCGTACCTCTGCTCTCTCTCTCTCTCTCTCGAACCCACACCCCTGCCATCACGCTGACTTTCTCTTTCCTCCCTTTCTCTCTCTCTCTCTCTCCCCCCCACCCCAGCTCATGGAGGCAGAGACAGTGCAGCACATCTTTAGCAATAACTACCAGCTGTGTACAGAGATCAGTGAGAACGTGCTGCAGCATTTCATCCACTGCCTGGCCACTCACGGACGCCACGTACAGTACCTCAACTTCCTGCACACCATCATCAAGGCCGAGGGCAAGTACGTGAAGAAGTGCCAGGACATGATCATGACTGAGGTAAGACAACCTCCCACGCAACCTGCTTTTAACTCTGCCATTTTCATTGGTATGGAGTCCTCTAAAAGTTGTAAATAATGCTGCAGTTTTTAAATGTTTATAAACATCTCAGTGGAACATCTAGTCTGTCTTACAATCAAAGGTTTGTGTGAAACCCTGATGAGTAATTGAAAATAACAGATGAACCACCTCCAGCCACTCACAAGCCACATTAATCATATCAGCAATTATGTAATTGTTTATCCCATACGGTGTGCTTGCTTTCCCCTCTAGTTAACCAATGCTGGGGAGGATGTGGTGGTGTTTTATAATGACAAGGCGTCATTTTCCACCATGCTGGAGCTGATGGCAGAGTCCAGGGAGGGGGTTCAGGAGAACAGCCCCCTGCGCTACCACATCTCTCTGGTGGAGCTGCTATCTGCCTGCGCTGAGGGCAAGAACGTCTACACAGAGATCAAATGTACCTCACTGCTGCCCCTAGAGGATGTGGTGAGAGTGGTCACACATGAGGACTGCATCACAGAGGTATGTCTGAAATGGAACAAGTATACAATTAGTTAGTAGCCTACATTGTCCTCAGTTAGAAAACACACAGCAGCATGCAATGATATGCAGACATACAACTGCAAAGGTAATGAAAACTTTATAATTACAGAATGTACAGAGGCCTGAGACAGCTATGTGTGTGTGTTTATGTGTCCCTTGTGGTCCTCAGGTGAAGGTTGCCTATGTGAACTTTGTGAACCACTGCTACGTAGATACAGAGGTAGAGATGAAGGAGATTTACACCAGCAATCACATCTGGAAACTGTTTGAGGACTTCACTGTGGACATGGCCAGGGTAAGTCTCACTCCCCAATCAGTGGGACCACTCTCACCCACAAGTCTCATCATCTCTAACCGCTCTCTCTTCCATCTTTAGGTGTGTAACAAGAGAGAGAAGCGTCTGACTGACCCTATCCTGGAGAAGTACATCATCAACGTGGTGTTTGATACCATCAATGCCTTCTTCAGCTCCCCTTTCTCTGAAAACAGCACCTCTCTACAGGTCAGTCAGCTCAGTGATGCTGCTGCCTACTCCGAGGCTTTGTCATGATATAAAGTGTACTGTAATGCACTGTTTAGTAGAGTGTGTATTTTGTTTGTATTGTGTCTGACAGTATTTGTGTAGTCATTTAATGTGTCATGAATTCTCATTGTGTGATTCTCCTTCCTCTGTGCCTGTAACCAGACCCACCACACCATAGTGACACAGCTGCTCCAGTCTAGCATGCGTCTGCTGGACTGTCCCTGGCTGCAGCAGCAACACAGAGGCCTGGTGGAGACCTGCATCCGCACCCTGGCCATGACAGGTGAGACAGGCCTACTGTAGGGCCCAGTGGTGGGCTACATTTAGGGCCACACAGGGCAAACACAGGGTCAAACTAGGGTCACATTCTTTTGTAAATATGACTTTTAAATTTTTCTACATGGTTTGAGTGCGAGTACCTTTTGAACTCAATGATGACTTTCCCCAATCTTGTGTGTTTGCAGCAAAGTGTCGCTCCATCTCCCTGCCTCTGGACCTGGAGTCTCAGATCACCACCATGCTGAGCAGCAGTGCTCCCAACGCTCTGTCCCGCTCCAACCCCAACTACAAGAGCTCGACCCGCTCCAGCCGCCCCTCCGCCCCCAACAACCCCTGGGATTACAAGAACATCATCGAGAAGCTGCAGGTTCGACCCTTAAACCTACCCATTAATTACCCTGCTGCCTTCTCCCCCTCCTGTGTCCATCACTTTATTCAGCCAAAGCCACAACTGAATTACAAATGACATCATTCCTTGGCCTCTGTCTCTCTCTGGTTTGTTCCCTGTTCTTGAGGGTTTGGTGTTTGACACAGTGGGTATATTCCCTGTCCCTTTCTCTTTTGGCTGTGATGTAAACATTGTTCCTCTATCTATGCTGTGATGTTCAGGACATCATCAACACCCTGGAGGAGCGTCTGAAGCCGCTGGTGAACGCTGAGCTGTCTGTTCTGGTGGACGTCCTGCAGCAGCCTGAACTCCTTTTCCTGGAAGGGACGGACGCACGACAACGCTGCGAATCAGGAGGCTTCATCTCCAAGTAAGGGACTGCATCTGAAATGGCACCCTATTCTCGACGTAGTGCACTACTTTTGACCAGAGCCATAAGGGGGACCCTGGTCAAAAGTAGTGCACTATATAGGGAATAGGGTGCTATTTTGAACTCAATGATGCGTCACTATGGTGTGGGGGCTGTGTGTGTGTTGGGATGATAGTGTTTATTTACCAACACAGTCACTGGAATTTACAGATACAAATATTTACTCATGCAAACTCACTGCAAAGTACAATAAAGAGCATTTTTGGCATGGTTTTTGTGAACCCAGACTGATTCAGCACACTAAAGCCCTGATGAGCTCAGAGGAGAAGCTCTGTATCAAGGTTCTGAGGACCCTGCAGGAGATGCTCATACGCACACTGGACTTTGACGAGAAGGTAAAGACTTATGACCAGTCAGTGTAGGTCTCGGAGATCAACCAATAGAATATCTGAGTGTATTTAAAGGCCCAGTGCAGTCAAAAACGTGATTTTCCTGTGTTTTTATATACTGAACAGAAATATAAACGCAACATGCAACAATTTCAATGATTTTACTGAGTTACAGTTCATATAAGGAAATCAGTCAATTTAAGTAAATGGATTTGGCCCATCAGCTGTCCGGGTGGCTGGTCTGCGGTTGTGAGGCCGGTTGGACGTAGGGCTGTTGCGGTGACCATATTACCGCCACACCGGCGGTCACGAGTCATGAAGGCAGTCAAATTCCACATGACTGTTTAGTCCTGTGTAGCTCAGTTACATTTACATTTTACATTTACGTCATTTAGCAGACGCTCTTATCCAGAGCGACTTACAAATTGGTGCATTCACCTTATAGCCAGTGGGATAACCACTTTATAATGTTTTTTAAATTATTTTTTATGGGGGGGTGGGGTAGGGTAAGGGGGGGGTAGAAGGATTACTTTATCCTATCCCAGGTATTCCTTAAAGAGGTGGGGTTTCAAGTGTCTCCGGAAGGTGGTGAGTGACTCCGCTGTCCTGGCGTCGTGAGGGAGCTTGTTCCACCATTGGGGTGCCAGAGCAGCAAACAGTTTTGACTGGGCTGAGCGGGAACTGTGCTTCCGCAGAGGTAGGGGGGCCAGCAGGCCAGAGGTGGATGAACGCAATGCCCTCGTTTGGGTGTAGGGACTGATCAGAGCCTGAAGGTACAGAGGTGCCGTTCCCCTCACAGCTCCGTAGGCAAGCACCATGGTCTTGTAGCAGATGCGAGCTTCAACTGGAAGCCAGTGGAGTGTGCGGAGGAGCGGGGTGACGTGAGAGAACTTGGGAAGGTTGAACACCAGACGGGCTGCGGCATTCTGGATGAGTTGTAGGGGTTTAATGGCACAGGCAGGGAGCCCAGCCAACAGCGAGTTGCAGTAATCCAGACGGGAGATCACAAGTGCCTGGATTAGGACCTGTGCCGCTTCCTGTGTAAGGCAGGGTCGTACTCTCCGAATGTTGTAGAGCATGAACCTACAGGATCGGGTCACCGCCTTGATGTTAGCGGAGAATGACAGGGTGCTGTCCAGGGTCACGCCAAGGCTCTTCGCACTCTGGGAGGAGGGCACAACGGAGTTGTCAACCGTGATGGCGAGATCATGGAACAGGCAGTCCTTCCCCGGGAGGAAGAGCAGCTCCGTCTTGCCAAGGTTCAGCTTGAGGTGGTGATCCGTCATCCACACTGATATGTCTGCCAGACATGCAGAGATGCGATTCGCCACCTGGTTATCAGAAGGGGGAAAGGAGAAGATTAGTTGTGTGTCGTCTGCGTAGCAATGATAGGAGAGGCCATGTGAGGATATGACAGAGCCAAGTGACTTGGTGTATAGCGAGAATAGGAGAGGGCCTAGAACTGAGCCCTGGGGGACACCAGTGGTGAGAGCACGTGGTGCGGAGACAGCTTCTCGCCACGCCACTTGGTAGGAGCGACCGGTCAGGTAGGACGCAATCCAAGAGTGAGCCGCGCCGGAGATGCCCAGCTCGGAGAGGGTGGAGAGGAGGATCTGATGGTTCACAGTATCAAAGGCAGCAGACAGGTCTAGAAGGACAAGAGCAGAGGAGAGAGAGTTAGCTTTAGCAGTGCGGAGAGCCTCCGTGACACAGAGAAGAGCAGTCTCAGTTGAATGACCAGTCTTGAAACCTGACTGGTTTGGATCAAGAAGGTAATTCTGAGAGAGATAGCAAGAGAGTTGGCTAAAGACGGCACGCTCAAGAGTTTTGGAGAGAAAAGAAAGAAGGGATACTGGTCTGTAGTTGTTGACATCAGAGGGATCGAGTGTTGGTTTTTTGAGAAGGGGTGCAACTCTCGCTCTCTTGAAGAGGAGAAGGTGGCAAAGAGCTTCCTAGGGTTAGAGGCAGATGCTTGGAATTTAGAGTGGTAGAAAGTGGCTTTAGCAGCAGAAACAGATGAAGAAAATGTAGAGAGGAGGGAGTGAAAAGATGCCAGGTCCGCAGGGAGTCTAGTTTTCCTCCATTTCCGCTCGGCTGCCCGGAGCCCTGTTCTGTGAGCTCGCAATGAGTCATCAAGCCACGGAGCTGGAGGGGAGGACCGAGCCGGCCGGGAGGATAGGGGACATAGAGAGTCAAAGGATGCAGAAAGGGAGGAGAGGAGGGTTGAGGAGGCAGAATCAGGAGATTGGAGGGAGAAGGATTGAGCAGAGGGAAGAGATGATAGGATGGAAGAGGAGAGAGTAGCGGGAGAGAGCGAGCGAAGGTTGCGACGGCGCATTACCATCTGAGTAGGGGCAGAGTGAGTAGTGTTGGAGGAGTGCGAGAGAGAAAAGGATACAAAGTAGTGGTCGGAGACATGGAGGGGAGTTGCAGTGAGATAGAAGAACAGGATCTAGTAAAGATGAGGTCAAGCGTATTGCCTGCCTTGTGAGTAGGGGGGGACGGTGAGAGGGTGAGGTCAAAAGAGGAGAGGAGTGGAAAGAAGGAGGCAGAGAGAAATGAGTCAAAGGTAGACGTAGGGAGGTTGAAGTCCCCCAGAACTGTGAGGGGTGAGCCATCCTCAGGAAAGGAACTTATCAAGGTGTCAAGCTCATTGATGAACTCTCCAAGGGAACCTGGAAGGCGATAAATGACAAGGATGTTAAGCTTAAATGGGATAGTGACTGTGACAGCATGGAATTCAAATGAGGAGATAGACAGATGGGTCAGGGGAAAAATAGAGAATGTCCACTTGGGAGAGATGAGGATTCCTGTGCCACCACCCCACTGACCAGATGCTCTCGGGTATGCGAGAACACATGGTCAGACGAGGAGAGAGCAGTAGGAGTAGCAGTGTTTTCAGTGGTAAGAGCATGGCTTGCAACGCCAGGGTTGTGGGTTCGATTCCCACGGGGGGCCAGTATGAAAATGTATGCACTCACTAACTGTAAGTCGCTCTGGATAAGAGCGTCTGCTAAATGACTAAAAAAAATAATGTAGTCACGGTACTTAGGCTTCTCCAAGCTCTGATGCTGCTGCTGGTCATTAGTAGCCTACCAAACTTGCTAACTGCCTTGTACTCAGCACTCTATTGTCCCTCGAATCACTCTGACATCAATGCAAATGTTTTCGAAAATCTAATCAAACACTTCATGAGATCCCATTAGCTCATGTTGCGCAACATTTCTATAGGCTATGCAATTGAGGGAGAAAACAGAGTGTTGGCAGCTTATACATTTACATCATTTAGCAGACGCTCTTATCCAGAGCGACTTACAAATTGGACAAAGTCGAGGATCCCATCAGCTTTCTATAGTCTAGGCCTACTATATTTATTTCTCAACTTTCCTAATATTAAGCACATTGCTTATATTTACAACAGGAGTATAGCCTACCTGGCTGGCATGAAAATAAACCATGGGGAAAAAGCGTCCTCCATTCGCTATTTAAGTGCAGAGATTACATGTATTTTTTCCCGTTGCCCCTGTTTCGATACAGGTGCATGATAATGGTCCATTCTAAATCAAAACAAATGTCACATGTATTATTTAGTATATGTAAAGACAAGATTAAATCAAGAATAGTCTGATGGGTGACAATATTAGCCTATCACTTGTGAATTATATACACTGCTCAAAAAAATAAAGGGAACAGTAAAATAACACATCCTAGATCTGAATGAATGAAATAATCTTATTAAATACTTTTTTCTTTACATAGTTGAATGTGCTGACAACAAAATCACACAAGAATTATCAATGGAAATCAAATGTATCAACCCACAGAGGTCTGGTTTTGGAGTCACCCTCAAAATTAAAGTGGAAAGCCACACTACAGGCTGATCCAACTTTGATGTAATGTCCTTAAAACAAGTCAAAATGAGGCTCAGTAGTGTGTGTGGCCTCCACGTGCCTGTATGACCTCCCTACAACGCCTGGGCATGCTCCTGATGAGGTGGCGGATGGTCTCCTGAGGGATCTCCTCCCAGACCTGGACTAAAGCATCCGCCAACTCCTGGACAGTCTGTGGTGCAACGTGGCGTTGGTGGATGGAGCGAGACATGATGTCCCAGATGTGCTCAATTGGATTCAGGTCTGGGGAACGGGCGGGCCAGTCCATAGCATCAATGCCTTCCTCTTGCAGGAACTGCTGACACACTCCAGCCACATGAGGTCTAGCGTTGTCTTGCATTAGGAGGAACCCAGGGCCAACCGCACCAGCATATGGTCTCACAAGGGGTCTGAGGATCTCATCTCGGTACCTAATGGCAGTCAGGCTACCTCTGGCAAGCACATGGAGGGCTGTGTGGCCCTCCAAAGAAATGCCACCCCACACCATGACTGACCCACCGCCAAACCGGTCATGCTGGAGGATGTTGCAGGCAGCAGAACGTTCTCCACGGCGTCTCCAGACTCTGTCACGTCTGTCACATGTGATCAGTGTGAACCTGCTTTCATCTGTGAAGAGCACAGGGCGCCAGTGGCGAATTTGCCAATCTTGGTGTTCTCTGGCAAATGCCAAACGTACTGCACGGTGTTGGGCTGTAAGCACAACCCCCACCTGTGGACGTCGGGCCCTCATACCACCCTCATGGAGTCTGTTTCTGACCGTTTGAGCAGACACATACACATTTGTGGCCTGCTGGAGGTAATTTTGCAGGGCTCTGGCAGTGCTCCTCCTGCTCCTCCTTGCACAAAGGCGGAGGTAGCAGTCCTGCTGCTGGGTTGTTGCCCTCCTACGGCCTCCTCCACGTCTCCTGATGTACTGGCCTGTCTCCTGGTAGCGCCTCCATGCTCTGGACACTACGCTGACAGACACCGCAAACCTTCTTGCCACAGCTCGCATTGATGTGCCATCCTGGATGAGCTGCACTACCTGAGCCACTTGTGTGGGTTGTAGACTCCGTCTCATGCTACCACTAGAGTGAAAGCACCGCCAGCATTCAAAAGTGACCAAAACATCAG